CCCCAAAACCCCAAAACCCCAAAACCCCAAAACCCCATTGGAATTGATGATTATTGATTCCTTAGTTTGATAATAGATTTTTGGAGATATCCAAGGGCAGCCTCAACTTCCTCTTTTGTAGTAAATCTACCAAAGCTGAATCTGACACTAGACAGAGCTAAAGTTTTGGGGATCTGGAGAGCACTGAGAACATATGATGGAGCACCAAGGTCTCATTCATCCAAGAGATCGTCGTTTAGGCATGCGGCTCCACTACTCATTGCAACTTGTGTACAGTCAGATATTAATCTTGAACTGTAGACTCCTTCTATGGCAATATTGAGGTTTCCTTGATATCTGTGGTCAGGGTCTCCATTCAGATGGATCCCTTCGACCTTGTCACTCAGAGTTTTGAAGAAATAACTCTGAAGACTTGAAACCCACTCTTTATCTCTATCAAATTCTGAAGTAGCAAGTTGGCATGCCTTTCCAAGGCCACTGAGTAGGAATGGAGTGAGGGTTCCAGATCTGATCCCTTTTTCTTGACCTCCTCCACTCATTAGAGGTTTAAGCTTTCCTTGTAATTCTTGGGAAATATATAAAGCACCTATTCCTTTGGGACCATAAAACTTATGTCCAGTGAGGCTGAGCATATCAATGTTCATATCTGTGACGTTGATCCTTGCTTTCCCGATACCTTGGGCTGCATCAGTGTGGAAATATGCTCCATGCTCCTTGCATAAAGCTCCGATTTCTTTAAGAGAATGAATTACACCGATCTCATTGTTCACAGCCATTGCTGTGACCAACAAAGTCTTGTCACTGATGGCCTCTTTGAGAAGGTCAAGATTTATAAGACCTGTTGGTTCAACAGGGAGAATTTTTATTTTCATTCCTTCTTTTTCAAGGTCATAGAAACTTTCTAGAACTCATTTGTGCTCTGTTTCAAAAGTTATGATCTCATTCCGGGAAGATTTCAGTGCTCTTGAGACTCCTTTAATAGCAGTGTTGTTAGCCTCAGTAGCTCCAGAGAGAAAGATTATGTTTGAAGGACATGTGCTGATACAGTCAGCAACCCTCTCTCTTGCTTTATCACATACTTTCATTTGCTTAGTTCCATAAATATGAGCAGTTGAGTGGGGATTTCCAAAATCTCGAGTCATATGTGGTACCATTTCATCAAAAACTCTCGGATCGATTGGCGTAGTAGCTTGGTTATCCAAGAAAATTGGTTTGGCTTCATAATCTATCGTACTTCAAAATCTCCTCGACATTTTTACCAAAGATGAGCAACTTTTGATCAATGTGCGATACCTTAAGAGATTCATTTTTCGCAGCTTAAAAATATCCAATTTGCTAATAATTTTTAGGGGTTTTGGGGTTTTGGGGTTTTGGGGTTTTGGGG